CCCCTATATTCATATTCAAGCAGGATGCATGATTAACTAACAATGAACTTTTAAGTATTAGGATTTTAAGGACTTCTTATTCCCTGCTTTTGTAAAGCTCTGAATCCCTTAAGGTTATCCCTCATAAAGCTCTGGCATTACAAACCTTAAAATGAAAATATATTAATCAATATAAAAGAATGACCTTGTGAGTGCTTAAAGGCAAAAGTTTAATTGATATTATGCATGCCCATGCTTATTGCCTAGACAACTAGAGCTTGTTTTGAACTTGCGCTTCAGAAGTTCTTACCAGATCCATCACGTATTTCACCATCCTTACAACTTATTGTGTTAGACACATTTCATTGTTGGAGTAGAAGAAGTTGTGTGCACATTTTAGGCTGGAATTCAATGCTTACAGTAAATTTCTGCCCGTTGCAAAATACTGAGTCAATTGGAAGAGAAATATATATTTTATAGTAAACTCTTTTGCTGCATATTATACATTGATAAACTCTTTTTTAAAGTAGGAAATGCGAATTTGTGCACTCAAAATATGACAAAGAAAAAGACGCGAGGAAGACAGTGCTTAATATATCGAGTACACGGGAGATATTTCTTAAAATCTGCAGTTCAAATACTCGTCTGAGTAAGCAAATCTAATAACACGGCTCAGAGCATGCATCATTGCAAAGTTTACTAAGGCAGATTGAAATAAAATTTGTACACATCACGTTGACCTTGTACTTTGGTTAAAATCTTCTTTCCATAATAGTATCTACAATTGAATTAAATTGATTGGCTAAATAGTATTTATTGCAAACTCGTTTGACAGAAAAGAGGGAGAGAGAGTGAAAGATACTTACCTCAAGGAGCGTTTCAAGTTCTCCTCACTCATATTCGGTTTATGTTTCTTCTCTCCCCAGAGTTGAGCAAGAGCTCGGGCATTGGTTAGGCGAAAGATTCCTTGTTCCTTGCATATCCACTCAACAACTGAAGGATTAAATTCCTCATTGTCTAGACAACTTAAAAGGAACTGCCAAAGCATTGGGGAGTTACGTATTCCTCTGTGCTCTGTGCCATATTCTAGGCATTAGAAAGAGTGGGTATTAGGTATAAAATAGTGGGGAGAAATAACTGAAAGGTTGAATGATTGCTTACCATCATAATCCACTGACTGGTCTAGTAATGTCTCCTCCAAACTGAGATCAGGAAGGCTCATTAGTCGCTCACTTCCACTTCCATAGCCAAAGTCTTCAGATGGAGGAACTTCTGCCTTCATAGAAAGATCTAGAGGCTGTTCGGGAACCTTACATTGGGGAAAATTCAAAAATGGAGGCAATAATGGCGTTATGAGAGGCTGCTCAGGAATGACGGGAGCTGTACTCATAAGAAAATTCCTTAGAATTTCTTCCAGAAGGAGAATATTGTCTACATTTACTAAAAAAAGCCAAATGGTAATTAAAATTTCACATTCAAAAAAAGTTGTTCAATTAAAATGGATGATTGAGTGTGCATACGGAGAGTGGAATCAGGTTGCGAAGCGTTATCCGACATGATTTCCATAAGTCTGTATGATTATGCTGCTTTCATCTATACCACGGTGCGTTAGAGAGATATTATATATATGTATATATATATATATATATATATATATATGTATATATTCATTGTACTAACCAATTGGTAACCTAGGGCCCTGAGCAGTCAGTCATGCAAGATAAAGGTCATCTAAGTGAGCACATGCTATTATTACATTTACTAAACTTTAGAAACATTCATTTCTCTACCTATGCGTAATATACTATCAATGAGCTCAAAAATGAATTGATTCAGGACAAACTCTGTTTAATGTTGGGTTTCAAAATCGCTAATAGTTCGGCCTTTAATACACTTAAACACTTTCCAATTTTCAAGCTTTGTTTCTGATCATAAATTATCTTATACTCACTCAAAAATAAGGAGAATTAAACTAACTCAACATCAAGCTTCTCGATTGATGGTCGCATCGTAAGTGAAGGAGAACTTGCTCCCATATAAGGCAGCTTCATAGGACCTAGTTGATCACCTTTGTCAGAAGCGCATCCATTGACAACAGTGGATAGTCAAAACTTGCCATAGGAAATACCATTTCAATAGAAGTTGGAGTATTATTTGAAAGAGCATCGCTCTTAGTTTTCAGGACATTCAATCCAACAGAGACGTTAAAATTGCTAATAACTAGATGCGAGAAGCAAAAAAAATCGATGTTGAAAATAATAATCAATTTATTTGTTGAGTATTCAGTAAGCAGAGGATAGCTGGAATTTCCGGAAGTTTCCTCATAATGGCTTAGCATGCGATAAGCAGTAGGTATGCATTTATTTGCACAAAATGGTAGAAAATGCTTATGGATTGCAAAATAACGGTTAGCCAACAATTCATCCACTGCTAAGCATAAAAATTGTATATGTGTTAAATTGCATGATTGTTTCTTTGCGTAAGTTTGAGTAAACTGTTGAAGTTTGCAAGTCTTGAGGGTTTTTTATGAGTTTGGGGAAATGTGGCCATTTTGGAGTCTAATTAGATTATGGAAGCGTTTCTACTGCTTTTTTAAAGATGAGGCATAGTGACTAATATTCAAGCGTTAGGTCTGTGGGTGGTGAAATATGTGCCCTTTTGCTCTCAAACAAGCTGAGACTACTTCCAAAAATGGGTCATTTAAAGCACTTCCATATTAGTCTCTAAAATTTATCCTAATCCCCACTTAACATCTAAAATTTAAAAAAAAATGTTTTAATACCCCTCGAAGAAAGCCTAAGAAATCATTACTTATTTGATTAGCTTTCTTCAAATACTACCTAATTTCACTTCAAAAGATGATATATTAAAGTTAAACAGCCCTCCTCCCACGTTATAACATGACTTTTAACTTCAGCTAATCAATGATTGATCTAGTAGGCTTGATAATATTTGCTGCCTATAACAACGTTTTCAACCTAGAGTATATTTGAACAAATTGGCGCCTAGCTTAACGTATCCTGTGAGTTTTGCATGTGACGCTAGAGAATCTTCACTCACTTTCACCTTGTTTAACGCGTTGACCGTAATAGGTAATCTTCAGCAGACAGTTCCTCCTGCCCCACGTGATGGAAGCGGAGTGGGGGGTGGAGGGTTTGGGGGTGTGAGTTTAGTAAACTAAGTCATACTTACTGACGGGTAGCGTTATGACCCAGGCTTCTCTGTAGAGTAGGCGTGTTATGACATTAAGTAGAGCCTTTCTTGCTCTCACAATACTCCAGTTACCAGAGTAGTTATACTTGGGACAACAGTTTTGCTAGATATAACACTTAAATACAGTCCACATTTGAGTGAAAGAGATGCAAGGTCTAGGATTTGGATAAATGAAACGATTTCTAGATTTACTCCTATTATTTGTAGCACAGTGTAAATCAACTGGGAATATGGCCACTAGTTATTTATAAGATTGAGGTTTAGTGCTTTATAACTCTAGTACATACAGGACTGCGAGAGGTGAGTCCTTTTATGGCATTTTAAAAGACCTTTCATTACCCTTCTCTAACTGGAATGCGAGATGTGCTCTCAGTAAGTGATAGAAATCGAGCTTTAATTAAGTACAAGCCTACATAACCCTCTGCATAATAATAAGGACTTGAACTCACAACTAAATGGACTACTTAGAAGCTTATATTTTCAATTCCCTGATTGGTGTTTACTTCTCGAGTGTTGATCCATTTGATAGCTCCTCGGCTATTCTACTATGTGATATTGAGATCTGTATTGCTAGACAATTAAACCGACCGTTCATTTTACAACCACTGGATGTATATTTAACCTGTTAACCACTACGAACAATGTTAATGAGTCCGTCATTTATCCAGTCTTATTTATCCCCCTCGGAGTCTCGACTGATCGGAGCATCAAGGAAGTCACTAGGGATATTAGAGCTAGTTACAACAAACACTGGCAGTATTAGATTTGAAATTACGCAGATCATATACAAGCTTCAGCAGTGAGAACCCCTAATCTCTTTATCTTTAAGCTATGTTCACTTCTTTGTTTCACGGGAGGAAAAATCATATTTTTGGAAACACTACCTGAAAGGAGACCACGATTTTATTAGTAACCAGCTATTACTTGCTAAAAATTTTAAACGATGAGTTTGCCTTACTCATTGGAATTCCAAAATCTAGGTTAAGCAGATGACGATTTGATTCTATTTTTTGCCGTACGTATTAAGATAAATAGTCTATCAAACTGTGGAATAATTTGCTCCGAATAATGAATTTTTTCACCTGCTTGTATGATCAAATACAAATGGTAATTACTTCGGCCAATAATAGTATTGGAATCACAGCAGACCGTCTCTCAGGTAATAATTACTCACGTTCACGCACTCATAATCTTAAAAGGCTAATAGATAAGGCGAATATTTTGGTATTCAAACATTTCTTTTTATTTATATCAAAAGGCCGGCGTTTTGATGGTTATAATTGGTCCTATAGTTGACTTCGGACCTCATAGAAAGGAGGAACTGACAGAGAAAAATAGTCAAGAGAGGGACAGAAGAGTGATTCAAAGACGTAAATAGACGGACAGCCAGAAAGGCGGGGAAAAGGAAAGATGAGAAATATGAAAGTGGTTGAATATGACATGCAGTGGGGTCTCGGTAGTCTGAAGACAGAAGTCAACCGCCGGTTTATAGATTCTTTTGCATATGGGGATACGTTGTCCGGGGTGCACCACGTGGAGGTAAGTCTATCGCATGCCCGGTATTTAAGCATTATGAACAGCCAAACTAAATAACAGGTTAGAACTACCTCTGCCAACATTACTAACTAAACTTTGGTACTATCAGTTTTTCGATCTCCCATCATTGGTTTACTTGGATGGCACTTGGGGAAGAACTCAATTTAATATCTGCGTCAACGCATGTCATACTCATAGTCGCACGTTTCTTTGTCTTCCCAGAACTAGGAAACTCATAACAACCTCTAGAGGTCATTAATATGATAAAAAGCCGGTTTCCTGCTACTACCAGATTAGCTTTTGTTTAGTCAGAAAGATTAGCCATTTTTAAGCCTATTTCGACTTGTATTTGAGTTCCATTCATCTTCTCTTTT